TCGAAAGAGCACGTCGGGCTCTAATTCAGAAGTTATACGAGAACGTTAGGAAGTCCTGCTAGGCGAATCCTGACAAGTTTTACGGAACAACCTAGGATTTCGGCTAGTATTTACTAATTTCCTTTCCTCAGAAGCATCTGGTTGTACTCAAAAGCTGCCCATTCGATACATCTGATTTAGATCTGTTTAGAAGATCATATGTCCCAGTTGGAATATATTTCTCAGTGAATCCTTGCGGCTTTTATTAAAAAAGTCGAAAATTGGACCCTGGCTTAAACATTTTTCTGGGACGAGAAGCATTGAATCAAGTTCTAAGGGTCTCCATTCGATAGATCTCGTTGAGATCTATTTGGTAAGACATATGTCTCAGTTGAAAAGCACTTCTGGACGAATCGGTTCGGGGTTTCTTGAAAAACTGAACAATTGGACCCCGGATCAGGCTTTTTTCTCAGAAGAAAAGCATTGAATTAAGCTCTAAGGGTCTCAATTCGATAGAGCCCGTCGAGATCTACTTGGAAAGTTGAATCATTTCGCTGGAAAGTGCGTCTGAACGAATCGCGACAAGTATTATTTGAAAAACCTGGTTTCTGGTGCAGATTGAAAGTTGTGAGGGCGAGAGGAGTATGGAATGTGGCGCCAAAGATGTGCATTCGATAGAGCTCGCCAAGATCTACCTGGAAACTCAATGATTAAGTTGGAAAGCATTTCTGGGCGAATTACGACAAGTTTTTCCAGAATTGTCTGCATTTTACACGTTTTTCTGATGATATTTGGGGATTTTCGCGGTTTGATGGGGGCTAGAGAAAAATGAATTATGTGGTTGGATAGAGCTCGTCGAGTTCTACTTGGAAAGTTTTCTGAAGCGAATCCTTTCAGGAAATACTCGAATTCTGACCTAAGATATCCTACGTATTCAATCACTGTATATGGATGATATGACATTGACATTACAAAATGCTCAACGTTTTTGTACATTAGTCTTGAATCAATTACCTAACTTGAAAAAATTTTTGTTTATTATCCATGATTCATATGAACAATGGACATGGAAAACGTTGCTTATTATCGATGGTAAAAATAAGTCTACAAAACGTATTGTTAATCTTATTTATTTCCTTGTTGATCATTTGCAACAACTTGTTTCGCTTCATATCAACTTTTTCAGCATGAAGTATTCTTATACATGTTATTCTTCACATCTAATCCGACAACAACTACATCAATCCCCACTTAGTCGACCGTATCAGTTACGATGTTCTTCAGAAATAATTCAACTTTGGCTCTAGAATCACATTCATCATGTTTAATCATTTTGTTATTGAAAATTTTGTCTATATAAAAACTAAAGCATGTTCAATTTCATTCTGATATTTTCAAAACTAATGAAAATGGTTGTTTTTGGCCAATGACAATGGATAACCCGAAAGTTCCATCTCAATTTGTATTAGAAATATTTCTATAGTAAAAGTGTAGTTATCTTTCTTTGATTATGAAAAAAGTATAGTAGAACATGTTCTTCGAATAACTTTATGTATAGACTTCTAGATTTCTTAGTAAGAAAGATTTCATATTTAAGTGAACTCACTATCATTTCTGTTCTTCATTTACCAAAGATACATTACGAATCACTGTAAGCGAAGAACATTCACTTCGATTAGATCGAGATCACAGTTTGTTGATTTTATTTACTGGTCCAGATCCAATAAAATAGCGATTAATGATGTAAAACGTCGATAAACGGCGTCATAATTCGTCATACCAGATTACGGAAGCAAAACCGAGAAAAAACGACGGACGTTTTCTAGCGATAGAAACGGCTTGTAATACGGTATGACGGGTTACGGCGAAATAAGGCCAAAAGTAATGCAGGAATTCGCCGTTTTTTAGCCGCTTCCGACGGCCGGAATAATCCTCCTGGGGAATTTTTTTTATCTATTTTGATCAATGGCAACATCAAATCAAATTCAATCTATTTATATTAAATTATCTTCGATTATCGAATCACGGCCCGGTGTTTTTAATTTGAATTATCCGATAAAATGTATCTTTGAACGATACGCGTACGACCCCAAAATCAAGGATAAAAAGAAAAAAAGAAAAGCGATTATGAATTATTCAAATGTCGATATAATTAGTAACTTATATGACCCGATTGTATTGAATTTAACAACGTTATATAAACATAAAAATCGATATAGATTAAGCATTAATGTCTTAGATAATCAGCAAATTATGTTTAAAGGAATAAAGCTGATTATGTTAACTCATGTCGGCTAAACAAATTCTGAACGGTTACCAACATTAAATATATTTTATTTAAAATATGATGATAAAGTGTCGGATCAGGAAAGTGAAGATGATGACCCATGTGTTCGAATGCGATTGCATTGCGACGCAGTTACGCGTAACTGCGATCGCACTGTGACCCGTAATTACGGAAAATTGCGGCGCAGCTACGCGTAACTGCGACGCAGTTGTTAAAAAAGTGGCGACATAGGGACAATGATGAAGAATAAAACAAATGATACTTATTTTTATGAAACTCATTCCAGTTTTTTTATATTTTCATTATGTTTGTAAATAAAAAATTTTATGATATATTCATCATCATGGATAAAAAAGATTCTTCTTGCTCTTTAAAGTTACATTCAAAAAAAAGTATTTTTTCAATGCACCAAGAGCATCTTCATTTTATTCTTTAAACCTAAAAATCTCTTGAAAATGAATATGATCGAACAAAATTCTCACATACCAATCCACCGTAAAAATGTCCCAAATATAAATAAATATATTTCTTGATTATGATTATTATTATAAATATTTTCTCTTGCTCGTTGAAAACTTTCATTAATAATTAATAAAAATTTGCTTGAGGGTGTGGGTGTGGGGTGTAAGTGTGGATATAAGTGTGGGTATGGGTGGGCCTGGTGAACGGAAGAGCTGCACCCATGCCTGCCCACACTCGCACCCACACCCCACATCCACTTACACCCTGTAATATTTTATACTTTATTTCTTTTTCTTTTAATCAAATGGAAACAATATGTTAATTAAATAAGAACAAGATGTTCATTGAAGTTCATTTGTTCTTGTTTAGCACGTGTTGTTGAGTAATTTCATCTGATTGAAATAAATATTGATCCATTGATATTTTACCAGCTACATAGTCTTTGCCCAATTGGAGAGGCTTCTCAATATCATCCTTTTTTTTCTAAAACAAAAATTCTAAATAGATGTGATTCATCAAAAAGTAAAGCTAAAATTACTTGTTCACTATTTATATCTATTTCAGCCATTATCCTCTTTAGAATCAACGTAATCAAATAAGTAAATGAATTAAAAACGAAGAGATGGATAATGGAGAAGAAAATGTCTAACTTAGGTTTTTCAAAGATCCTCTCTTTGGGAAACTAACAATTATTTTCATCTTCAAAAATTCTTGTTGGAAATAAAGCTTGCTGTATCAACGACTATTTGAACTCTTATTAGCATTTATGGCAGTGCATAAACAATTGAAAATAAACCTGGTGAAATAATTTTGGGAATCACTGTAAATATAATGTTAATATTAACCGTATACCCAGTCAGACAAAAATTTCGAAAAACGCGTTTAAACGCACAATCGGGAACCGCGACTGTGATCCATTCACGCTCATTAAAAAAACGCACGAAAACATGTTTATTGGCGTTTTTTCTAACTTTCTAGGCGTCAAAACGGCGGAAATTCCAGTTTTTGAGCGTTAAAACGCACTATTATTCTAGAACTTAAAAACAATACGTTTTAACGCTCAAAAACTGGAATTTTCGTCGTTTTGATGCCCAAAAAGTTACAAAAAATGCCAATAAACACGTTTTCGTGCGTTTTTTTAATGAGCGTGAATGGATCACAGTCGCGGTTCCCGATTGTGCGTTTAAACGCGTTTTTCGAAATTTTTGTCTGACTGGGTAGTGACTGGGTTTTTCTGAAGAGATGCAAAAATTGTGATTTTTCCCATAAAAGCTTGGAATGGAGCGTTTACACCGAGAGAAACAATGAGTTTCGTGAAGGATCATCGAACACCATAATATCCTAGGATTTCGCAGTGAAGTAGAATGGCGCAGAATCTTATAGAATCCTGCAGATGGTTCCCTGGAGAATTTTGAAATCCTATATCATAATATAGATCTCATAAAAGCTAACATCTAATGATTTGTAGTATCAGTGCTTTAGTAATAGCAGCAGCTCCATTAAATAATAATAATATTTAATTAATTAAATCATAATGGTTTTAGAGACTAATTACTACAAATATTCTTGCAGATAATGCTTTTCAAGAAATCATCTGGTCATTAAACTGACATATTTCTTACACGAATTGAGAATATTTTTTGCTTTTAATTTTTCAATTTTGTCATCTAACTATGATATCGAGAGCCATAGACGAACTACGTAAGCAAAGTAAATTAAGATCAAATAATTAAAACATTTAACCAAAAAAAAATTTAAGTATCTGAAATTCTTTTCTCTTTGAAAATAGAAAATTCAAAATACAATAAATTATACAATTATTTAATGTTTGAAGAGCTTTTTCTACATATCACATATGCTATATAGTGTCTCCCTCTGTTTAATATTACATTATTATTTCCATACAATTGGTTACCAAATAGTATTATGTTTTTATCTTCGCAATTTTATTTTTGTGTGCATGTTTATTGTATGAAACTAATATTTGTATTTGAAATTTGAATAGGAGTTCAATATTCAATCTTCTATTCTCATTGTTGTTAAGTTTTTATTTGTATTGAGTCATGATAAAATGCTAAGTATTACGCTATAAACATTTTGGAGCTGGAATTGCAAAATATCGCAAGATCAAGAATAAAATAATTTCTTTGCTTAGCTCTAAATTTTGGTTTTTGTTTACAAATAATGAATTAATACCTATATTTTTTTCTAAATTATTATCAAATAATAAAAGATATTTTGTTCTTCTAGGCTGCGTTTCATCAAGGCTGACATGGATTTATTGTATGCGAAAATCGTTCAAGAGAGTAAGTATCTTATTAAATATATATATAGGCGATTATTTAAAAGAAGTTTTTGTTATTTATGATTTCGAATGAAGGATTATCACCTATAAGAAATAACAAGTTTTTAAAAGTCTATGTAAATTGTAAAATCTACGTTTGCACTTTGACATAAATTTTTACTTTCCAAAATTATGGATCTATTTTTTTTTCTAATAAAAGGATTATATTTAATTTTATTTAAATCGAAAATGAATAATTTTTCCTATCTTGACAAGATACTTCTTCATATATTAAATCTACAACAAACAACTTGACATACAAGTAACATAAAAATAGAAACAAAAAACAAGAGTGTAATAATGATAGTTAAGTACAGGTGCAACCATTTTCTGTGTCACTATTGATGCATGACCAAAAAAATAAAAAATAAAAATTGATCTAGCTTGTTGTTTTATTTTTATTTTACTTGTATGTTAAATGATTTGTTGGAAACTTAAAATCTAAAGTGGTATCTCATCAAGATATGAAGTATTTATCAATGAGGAAAGTGTGGGGTTGGCACATTCAGCACTTTTTGATATTGAAAATTAGTAGTGATGTTTATAGAGATAGAAAATGAGGTAGAGGTTAAGGTCAAAGTCATACGAAACAAACTTAATTCTTTTAATCGAAGATTCTTTGGATTGAAGAATCTGAATCTATAGATGATTTGTCAAATATTTTCGATTAGTGGAGTTTTATTTCAAGATAATATATAGATGAATTTTATTAATCTTAGTCGAATCTGAAAAAACAAAGATTCATTTCATTGATAAAAAACCGAACTCGAGAATTTTAACAAATCAATTTTACATTCGAATTCTTCGATTTCGAAAATTTTCAATCAAGTTTTATAAAAAAAAAAATAAATAAATAAATTGTTATCTTTTCGAAAAAATCAAATTACTTTTCATTAGTATTTGATCCATGTTGTCTATGCTTATCATCTTGAATGTTACTAGTCTTTTGTTAATCAATTCCTAATATTAAACAACATAGAAGAGAATTTATTTCACATTCAAAAATCAAAAAAATCAGAAGGTCACAGAAAGTATTTCGTGTCTGCATGCAATCTATAGTTTATAAATAAACTTGAAAATATTGTCTTTTTTTTTATTCTTGTTTATAGTTGAAGCATATATAACCGATGATAATCTAAACAATGATTATATAATAGCAAACTGCATATGTGAAAATGATGGATGGATACGACTTGAATTATTAAGTCGTTGTAATAGATTATCAAGTTATAATTATGATACAATACTTCAAGCTTTACATTCTAAATATTCAAATATAATTGAATTGAGTTCATTTACACCTCGATGTATACGTCGTCGATGTCAACCATTAACAGGAGATAGTATTCAAGATAATCGAACTGTTGTTGTTACCGGTTTACCATATGATGTTAGACATGAAGAATTAATAGAATTTTTTAATCATTTTTATCCGGTTAAAGAAATAAAAATGTTTTCATTATCAAATAGATTTAATGGAACAATTCATATTATATTTAAAGAATCTCAAGATGCTTTAAAATTTGTTCAACAATCAAAATTAATGCCTATTCTTTATGTTAATAATAATTTATCTCAATTATCTAAAGGTTATACAATTGTTTGTAAAATGTTAATTGATGATGATATTAATAATAATTTTATTAAACAAAATCATCAACAGAATTTTTTGAAGGGTAAATAAATAGAAATTAATAATCATATATTTATTTAATTAAAATTATATTTTAAAAGGAAAATCATTTTCTACCCGACTTGCTAATCTACCGTCTCGTATTTCGTTCAATACAAACATTTCATCAGCTAATGATAATACGGGTAAATAACACGATTGCATATTGACTTTTTTTTTTGCGATACGATTTGTAGAAGAGTAACATTTCGAAACAGTAAAATATAAAATCTAGAATGACAAATAAACAGAAGAAATTTTCGCTAGCAATTTAAAACTACGTAAATATAATGGACACCTTTTAGACTTTTTAATAGTATTAGACGATAAGAAAGCTAAGTCTTTTCTAAAAGTAAAGTTTTTTTTTTTGCAAGAAATAGACGTATTAGTGAATAAAACAATTACCTATTGCTCATTGTTATTTTTCTTTGTATGCATTTTTGTTTTTAGAAAAATGAGCAATGTTTAAAATCTAATAAAATCTTCCTACCGTGAACGTCATTAGGACTTTTCAACAGTATCCACCATAGAACTACTATTCGTTTCAAAACAGAAGGCGAGTGATTGCGAGTTAAATAACTTCAGAACACAAACAGCTAGCGATCTGCGGTTTTCATCATTATAAAGAGGACACCAGGGGGGGGGGGGGGGGGGAACATAAATACATGGAAAAATTTGATTGATCAATAGAATAAGTGCCCGTTAGACATTTTGAGGACAGCTTTCGGAACACTTTTTCCATTTGATTCTGAACTTCAACTGAGCCGTTCGATAAAAAAAAAGTTGTTCCCTTTCGATCTATGCAAGGCTGAGCTCGATAGCTTACTTCGTGTAGGAGCTATATGCGTTTTCCTGAGACTACCAAAATCGATCAGGTTACGTTCAATCACATTTAAACAGGTCACAAAAGGAATAATCGACAACGCTGAGTTTAGTGGTGATGTTTTGTTTTGGTTTCAACGCGATTTGAAACCACTATACCAGGATTTTCCATATATGTGTTCTGTACGCCACATAGCAGTAAAACCAGATTTTCAAAAAATCTTGATATAGTGGTTTGAAATCACTTTGAAACCAAAAATAAACATCACCACTAGACTCAGCGTTATCGATTACTCTCATTTTGACCTATTTAAGGATGATTGAGCATTACCTGACCGATTTTGGTAGTCTCAGGAAAATGCATATAGCTCCCAAATGGAGCAATCTATCGAGCTCGGCCTTTCGTAGATCGAAAGGGAACAATATTTTCTATCGAATGGTTCAATTGAAGTTCAAAATCAAATGGAAAAAGTGTTCCGAGAGCCGTCCTCAAAATGTCTAGCGAGCACTTATTCTATTGATCAATCAAATTTTTCCATGTATTTATGTTCCCCAGTGTCCTCTTTATAATGATGAAAACCGCAGATCGCTAGCTGTTTGTGTTCTGAAGTTATTTAACTCTCAATCACTCGCCTTCTATTTTGAAACGGATAATAAATGACGGTGTCTACTATAGATATTTTTCAGATGTCACAAAGCTAACATCGATCTTACATAGGAAAAAGTAATTAAACAAACAATACTTTGCTAGACTACGAAAAATAAAAACCAAAAGCAGACAAAATTGATTCGATATTTTTGGGAAGACTTTTTTCATTTCATAATATTTACAAAAAAAAGAACCCATTCAATACAGCATTGCAGAAGCGATTACTCGCTGTCCATGGCGGCAGCAGCAAGTTTTCAGAAATGAACAAAAAAAAAGTTTAAAACATTTTCATTGTATTATGTTTTTTTTTTGTGATTAAATTTTTTAGCTCATCATAAATCACGAACAGTACCTACTCAAACAAAAACTTGTTTGAAATCGAATACATGTGCAACAGAACAAATCCTTTTTTGTCAAAATATAGCAAAGAAGAAACCAATAAGAGATGTCGAATATGAAAGACAAAAAATTGTTTATAATAAATTTTCATATGAATTTTATATTCCTGATCATCTTCTTAAACATACACTTGAATGTGTAATAATATCTGTATTAAATCCACATTGTTTTACAATTCAACTTAAAGAAGATGCAATAGAATTTGATAAATTTCAAAAAGAAATTAATGATTTTTATAATACAATACATGATAAACAATATCATATAAAACCAGAACAAATTCTTTTAAATTCATGTGTTATATGTTCTGATCCGAAATCATCAGATAATGATAAAATTTGGTTTCGTTCACAAATACTTGATTTTGATTCATCTGATAATACAGTTAATTTATTTTATGTTGATTTTGGTACATGGGAAGAATATGTACCAATAAATCGTCTTCGACATATAACTGATGGTTTTCATCGTCATCAAGTTTTTTCTATAACTTGTCGTTTAGCTCATATACTTCCATTAAATCATAATAATGATCAATTAACATGGACAGAAAATGCAACAAATCAATTTTTAGCTGTTATTGATCAAGTTATACCTGAAATAGAATTATTATCATTTACTTCTAATGGTTGTTTTCAAACAAAATTATTTGTTATGAATTCAGGTCAACATGTTTGTGTTAATGATTATATGATACATATAAAACAAGCTAAACCTATTCTCAATACAACAAATATTCATGATGATAGATACAATTGTATTCAAGTAAGAGATAATAATCTCTGATAAAAATAATCATATTTGTTATTCAAATATGTAATTTTATTTTAATATAATCTATAACACGAAAAATTTTGACTCATTTTTCGATCAAAACAGTTTTTTTTCAAATAGTGATACTAGCTCTTTAGTAGAAAAAGATTTCGCTTATTGTAATATCTCATTTTGTATAGAATCCAATACTCTACGAAAATATTGAGTTGAAGTTGTTCTAAAACACGAACTATATAAACTAAGGACTACATCAATACCGCTATTTTCTATTATACAGTCAATGTTTTGGAGTTTTTCACAAAATTTATTCATAGTTACTTATACAATGAAAATAACAAACAGATAATTCATCGGTATAAGCAGACTAAACCCAAATCACACATCAATCGAAACGAGAATAACTCATTGCTTTTGTGATCAATTGAATATTCAAGAAGGATAATATTAGCAATAATTAATTAACACACAAAAAAAATAGAAATTTTTCTAGAATATAGTTTTTGATAATATTCATTATTATTTTAGTTAGACGAACATGATATAAATGATAATGGTTCACCAATTCATCCGGTTGTTGCTTTATATAATAGACTAGGAGAGTAAGTAATGAATGAAAAATCATTTAAAACTAACTATTTTAGTTTTTTTTTTTATAGAAATTTTCAACAATCACTTGTTGAATCACGTACTACAAGTATAAGTAGTTCTGCTATGTCATCCCCATCTAGTTCACCACGATTATATGTTAAACTTATACATGTAAATATAGAAACAAACACTATCAATAGAGAAAAATATAACAATTCTCAACAATTAATACCGATTGTTTTTGTTCATTATCAAAAAACAATTCTTATACCTGATTTCAATATATATACTTTACTTAATATGATCGATTCAACTATTGATATTCATACAATAGAACGTTTTGTAAGAATCTTTCTTTTTATTATAGTTATACAAAGAAGATCTTTTCTTTTTTTTCTATTCTAAGGCTTTGTCTATTAGATATACCTGCGTACATATAACACAAGAGTTTCATTTTGATATATTTACACAATTGAGTTCATTATTTGATATACGATATTTAAATAATATAGGATTGTATACAATTGATTTTGTTGGTTATATACTTGAACAATATAATTTTCCAATAATTAATGTATTTCGTGCATTAGAAAATGCTAAACAAGCTCAATTACATGCATCGGATCTTGCTCTATGGTTTACAATGAATAATGAAGTGAATAAAATTGTTTATGTTTTTGTTCATCATAGAAAAGATATTTTATTATTTTAGCTTAACACTTCATTCACACTCGTTTCCAATGATACGACTAAGTATGGTTTTTTTTTAAAGAGAACATCGAGTGTTCGAAGTACTCGATAAACTTTTAGATTCTAATACCCTTTCTCTGAAAATTGAGAAAAAATGTCTTATAAAAGTTGCATCAGCTTGTATTTCAACAGATCATTGAAATTTTTCATGGTATATACTAAAAGATAGAGAATTAAAAGCTGAACAAAATGAACTATATAGATGTAATATAATGTTTAACCATTCATGTTTTATAAAGCTAACAGAAATCAAAAGGAATCTTTTTGATCAGTCCAAATCTCTACAAAATAGTGCTTAAACCTTCTAATTTTTGATGATTTTTCAGTAGAATATGAATATTTTATTGCGATAACATAATGATAAAGCAAAATAAATACTATATTCGGAATCAGTGTGAAAAACTATATCTAACCATATATATTTTAGCAAAAATTTTTTCCTGTCTAGAATTAACCCATAGTTCCCCGCAGCTATATCTCAAAGAAGATGTTTTCTCTGCTTCCCCACAGGTCAATTTTGGCCAGGAAAAAATTTTTACTAAAACATATATGGCTAGATGCAGTTTTTCACATTGATTCCGAATATCATATTTATTTTGTTTTATCATTATGTCATCGCAATGTAAATCGCTAAAAATATTTATATTTTTTTCTTGTTTTTTCCCAAAAAGGTGTGATAGTGTTAAAAGTCGATATTGGCTAACTTTTCAGAGGAAGGGCATTAGAACCTAAAATTTTAGGGTTGGCGGTTTTAGACATTGATGCATTGAATGAGCAAAAAAAAATTTATCGAATGCCTTGTATATTGGAGTGATACTCGATCAGCTCACAAAAGCTCTCTTAAGTTTTTTGTTTAAAAATTCTTATTTTGTATATTATAGAATGGATCAATTCAATGGTCATAGATCTCCTATTCGTTCTATGTATCAGCAATCGTCAATATCAATCCGTCTTCCTTTTTCAAATCGATTAATTAATCCGATGTGAACATATTTATTTATTTATTTATTTATTTATTTATTTATTAATCTTACTAATTATTTTAAAATTTAATCCGACAATGTATTCTTTTCTTTTTTCATTTATCTGTGATTCTTCTTTTCGATACTTTTATATAAAACAAAAAAAGACAAAGAAACTATTGTGATATATTTACTAATTAATTTTTTTTCCTACATGTCTATTTTTAACATATTTCATCCAGTGAAGTTTTTTTATTTCTATGTATATATATATATATATAAACAAGAATAAATTGTTTTTGCATTTTTCTAAAGATTTATTTTTATATTTCTAGATTAAAAAAAAGCAAAACTATGTCTGCTCGTTGTATACCAACAACAGTACGTAATATACAAACATTATGGATGACAAATAGTCGTCGACAATTTCAAACATCAATTTCACGTTTATCTGCTGATACAGTTCATATTAAAGATGATGGAGATTTTCAAAAACAAGTTATTGATAGTAAAAAATCATTTATTGTGGATTTTCATGCAGTTTGGTAAGAAAAAAGAGAATTTTAAATTAGAAAATAAAATTTCAAAGATATATTTTTTAGGTGTGGACCATGTAAAATTTTAGGTAATATTATTTTGAATATTTTTTCATTTGTATTTTATATGATCAATTAAATAGAACCTCGTCTTGATAAAGTTCTTACAAATTATAATAAGAAAGTACAAAATACATCGGCTGATCAACAAATCAAATTGGCTAAAGTTGATATAGATGAATTAGGTGAATTAAGTAGTAAATATAATGTACGAGCAGTACCAACGGGTAAGTCATTGACTTGTTCAATCGTGATGGAATCACAATTTTTTTTGAAAATTCTATCGTCAATATTGAGTGTTCTTGTCTAAATATAGAATTTCTACATTCTAATCTTTAGTTGTTATTTTTTTTTTTATTGGTTGAAAATTATACACAGGTGTCTATTTCCGTGATAATGTTATCTAAAAAAGAAACTTTTCAAGTAGATATACTAACAATTTCTATTTGAATTATAAATAGAAAAACATCCGAAAGGAAAATCAATTATCGAGCCATTGTCTAAAGGTAGCAACTATTTTCAAATTGTGTTAGTCATCGATATTATATGAAAACAAATCAATATGTATAGCTATTGTTGCCGAAAATGGCTGCTACCACTGATTTATATATCAATTTGCATAATTAACCTTTCAGAGTCGATTGTAAAACAGGTTTTTTCTTTTTTAAATAATTAGTTTATTAAATAAGAATGATTGAGTTAAAGCACATTTATCTTTTTTTTTTTGTTTTTAGTTTTGGCTATTAAAAATGGCAGAGAAATAACGCGATTTACAGGTGTTGTCGATGAAAATAGAATTCAAAAAATGATTGATCAACTTAGTCGATAAACAAAAGAAAAACAAAAACAAAAAACAATGTCTTTTTTTTTTCTTTGTTCTATTTTTATTCTAATCATTAGTAGTTTATTCGATTAAAATTGATCATTTTGAATCTTTGGATACAATGTTGGTCCTTGATTCGGTGGTAAATAATTCGTATTTGTAATAACAGGTGTTGTTTCAGGCGGTACTCGATAATAATTTGGTATTATATTAGGTGCTGATGGTTGATATGGATTAGAAGGCATTGTATAAGGTTGATGTTCATAACGCATTGGCATTGGTACTGATTGTTGATAAACTGGAGCCATAACAGCTGCAGCTGGTGCATGCATTTGACGTCGACTAACTCGTGAGATACGTGAAGCAACAATACCATATAAAATAAAATATATAAAACATGTAATTGCTATAATAACACCAGCAGCTAATTGAGCTTTGATTAATGCTATACGAATGTATCCACAATTTTCTGAACGATCATCATAAAAACAATCCCATGATAAATGAACATTATTGAAGTCGGATAACCTATCACATATATTTGCAGTAAGAAAACAATGATTTGGTCGTCGAATAAAAGCAATATTAAGACCAATTAGAACAAATGCAAATAAAAATGAAATAAAATTTTGTACAAGAGCATGTGTAGCACAACTTCGTCGACGACAACAACATACTAAAATATAGAATATAAAAAAAATAAATAAATCTATAATTTAATATTCAAAATATACCAGTAGCAAACATTGAAATCCATAAAATAGTAAATGGTATTGATGCCCAAAATCCAACAAATAAATTTGTTAAACGAATATTATATAGAATATGTCCGATTTCAAAACCAATAATAGTAAATGTAGTTAACATTTGAATAATAGCTAATATAGCTACAATTGATAAAGGATATTCATCATTGAAACGTTGTCCTTGTGTATAATACTCTCTTGAATGTTGTTGAATCATTTTTTCAGAGATTTATCAATCAATCAATAACGTTGAATAAAGAAAAAATGAAATGAAAGCATTAAATTATTTTCATATCATTTTTTTCTGTGTGACATACGATCTCCATCTGTAAAATGTAGGCGATGTATTATGTATATCTAATATCTATGTCTATTTGATCAGTGCTTGCAAGTAGTAAAGAAAAAATAAAGCATGTTATAGATTTTCTTTCCTATTTAAAAAAAAAAACACGGAACATTATGACGATGCAAGAGAGTCCATGGGAATGATAAGGAAGAGAATTTTATCAAATATTAGATTTTGTTTTTTGAATATATTTACATATATGATTTAGAAATATATAAAGATACAGATTACTTATCTGAATACCGATTGAATATATCAAATACATATTTATTTTTTTGTTGTTTCAAGGACTAAGAAACATTTTTTGATGTTATGCTTGATAGCACACATGTATTGTAGGTACAATAATGGATGGTTTATTATTATGACCAAAAACAAAATAATGTTAGTAGTGGTTTATTTACTTGCCTAACTTACCAATAAAACAAAAAAAACATGATCCATTAATAACAAGAAAAAAAATCAATAGAAATCATATTGTCATCAAAGCTAACCTATCAAGGTAGCTCGTATAAACCACGAAAAATGAATAGTATAGTTATGTATAAAAATAAAAAATATTTTATGCGTGGCCTTGTTGTTTTATTTATTGTTATTATGAAAATTGCTCTATGCATGAATAATCTACATAGATAAATAATAGCAATGAGTTTTTTTTTTTAAAAAACACAAAAATAAATATAATAAACATTTTGATTTCTACAAGATGTCGTCTATTGAACAAATACATTCTCATACAAAAACAAAAAACAAATATCGTTTGCATTTACATAGTCTTAATCATACAAAATCTGTTCAGAATTTTCTGAATCCACACACAAATCTATTGAATAACTCTGAAAGAATTCAACAATGTCAGCTTGTTCAATAATATATTTTTTTCTAAACACGAAGCATATTTTAAATCAACCATGAAAAGTTCTATTATTAATATTGAATGTTCTAGTCAAATTAATATTATAACATCATTAGACTAATCTTCTCTATTTAATTATTTAATTTAGAAATCAAATACAACGACAACAGTTTGATTATTAGTTCAAATATTGAACATCTACTTTCTAATCTTCAGTTATTTTTTCTATTAATTAAGAATTATACATAAACGACTATTTGCGTGATGACATTAGCTAAAAAAGGAACTTTTCAAGTGGATACTGATAATTTCTATTTGGATTGTAAGTAGAAAAGCATCCGTGAGCAAATACAAGTCAATCCATTTAGTCATAGGCAAAAAGTATTGACTATTTTCGAACTGTCTCAGTCATCAGCATTGACAAGAAAACAAATAATTATTGTTGTCGAAAATAACTTACTAAAGATGATAGCTACCATCGATTTATATATCAATTTACATCTTTAATCATGCAGAGTCGATTGTAAAACATGTTATTAGAAAAGAATAATTTTCTAAGCGATGACAATAACAGTGATAGAACTTGAATAAAATAGTGTTGAACTTAAGCACATCTAAACTACATTTATCTTTCTTTTCTGTTTTTTGGTCTAGTATTGGTTATTAAAAATGATACCACAAAGTGTTTTATACCAAATTAGAGCTCATGAAAAACTGCATTTATGAATGTAATTAGAGCAATTATTGTCTATGAAAAATATTGAAATGTCATGAATTACATACCAAAATGTATTTGTATTTTATGATTTTCATTCTTTATGTACATGTTTGACGAAAAAAAAATTTTTGAAAAATCCCGGGGAATATGTGGTTTCGGACATAAAATATGTATTATCCAAGATTTTTTTGAAAAATTTTTTTTTCATCAAAAATGTACAAATGACATGTCTATAGATGTAGTTTTTAATGGAGATTACGAATCTGCTATTATTTTTTTGTGAAAATATGCATATGAAAAATGAAAATCATAAAATACAGGTGCATTTTGGTATGTAATTCATGACAGTTCAATATTTTTCATAGACAATAATTGCTCTAATTACATTCATAAATGCAGTTTTTAATTTGGTATAAAATACTTTGTGATATCATCTATACTTTAAATTGTAGAGGAGAGGAGGTGTAATTATTTTGTTATACTCTGTATAAAGCATGTAATCGCTCTAATAACACGAGCAACTAATTGAGGTTTGATTAATGATAAATGAGTGTTTTCATAACTATCTGAATGATCATCAAAAATACAATTCCATAGTAAATGGACATTATTCAACCAGAATAACTTTTCACATATGTCTGCAGTAGAAAAAAACAATGATCCGATCGTCGAATAAAAGTAATATTAAGACTAATTAGAACAATTGCAAAATATCAATGAAATGAAATTTTGCACAACAGCGTGTGTAGCACAATTTCGTCAACGATAGCATTATACGAAAATATAGAATATGATGAGATAAATCTATAATTTAATATTCAAGATATACCAGCAGAAAATATTGAAATTCATAAAATAGTAAATTGTATTGATGCTCAAAAATGAAAATGATACATATGTAAATCTACTTTCTATGTCAGTTTGATCAGTACTTTCAAGAAGAAGAAAAAAAACATGTTGAAAATTTTGTGTCCGATTGAAAAATACAGAACATTATGATGATTAAGAAATCCAAGAAAGTAATAAGAAAAAGAATTTCATTAATATTATGTTTTCTTTCTTCTCACTATTTTTAAGTGCATTTTTGTATACATGATTTAGAAAAACATAACAAGACAGATTACTCATTTGATCATATATTGTATTTATTACATGAATATTTTTCGTTTTGATTAAAATCACGAAAAAATGTTTATCGACGTCACGCTTGACGATTTATACGCGTCAGAGATACAAAAATGCATAATTAACTTTCATGATAAAAGTAGAAAATGATATCAGTAGATGCTTCTTTATTTATGTAGCTCATTAATCAAACTGAAAGCATGATGTATTGATAGAAAATAAAATAGAAAATTATATTGGTACCTAAGAACCCCAAACAATAACTCCAATATAAATCACGAGAAATAGGCAATATGATTGGCATATAAGAAAAAAAAAATGATAAAAGTGCAAGATACAAAGCACATTCTATAACCTTGTTGAATCATATTGATGTTTGATTACTAATATTAGCTTTCCTTTACGCGTGAATAATTTACATAGATAAATAGTAGCAATGAGTTTGTTTTGAAAAAGAAAAATAATAATTATAAAAAACTTGGATTTCTAGAAATGTCGTCTACTAAACCATCACGTTTTCATTCAAAAAAACAAAATAGTAGGTCATAATTTTTTATTAATTGTATTTATTAAATAAATAATTCTTATTTTTTTCTCAACAGGCAAAAACAAATGTCGTTTGCATTTACATCAACTTCATACACATATTCATGAAAAAACTGTTCAGCATTTTCTGAATGGACGTACAAATCAATCGGGTAACTCTGAACAAAGTCAATCATCTAAAAATTTGACTGAACAAGAACTTCAACAACGTCAGCTTATTCATCAATATATTTTTTCTCAACTTGCAACTTATGCTAATAAACCTCGCATTTGGCAATTAACACATTCATTACATATAAGACGACATCTTCTTAATAAATCAAAACATATATCGAAGCTTTATTCTTTACCTGATGATTTTGTATGTGAATCTATAAATCAATTATTTACTAATGTTGATAAATATGTTTCACAATTATGTCAACTTATGCAATATAAAATCGGTGCATCAGGTGAATCGCATGTTCTATTTCAAAAAATACGAATCTCAAATAATCAATGGTGTTCATTACAATTAAAACGTGCACATCAAATATTTCCAAATATTAATAATGAAGAATTTACAGACAATGAAATTTTAGAAAAATATTATAATCATATTATTGAAACATTAACACCAGAATTTGATACAACTATTCCAAATTGTATTGCACAACTTCGTGAACAACCATTTGATTTAAATCATGCATATGAACAAGCAGAAAATAAAGCAAAAGAATGTTTAGCACCTATGTTACAAAATTATCGTAAACGTTCAATACCTGATCTTGAATTAATTCAAGAAATGATTAATCTTGGTAACTATAAAAAAAATGAAAATGAATTTAATAGATATTGTTTTTTTCTTTAAGGTCTTGAGTATATGAAAACATCACCAAGAAGTGAAGATTTTAGAAATGCAACAAATTTTCTAGATAAAATTTCCATGTTTCATAAAACAAAAGAAGCGTATGAAAGTAATTTACATAATATGAGTGATGATTTTATGTTATTACGTTTTGGTAAAGTTTTTGGACCAAATGCATTACCAACAACAGCACGTTCAAATGCACAATTTATGTATCTTGTTCATTTATTTATTAAATCTATTTTACATCTTATTATAATGATGCGAGCGAAATCTGATAATAATGAAGAAATTCCATCAATAATAAAACTTGTATTTGGAGATGTATTTTCGAGAGAAATAAATTCATCAATTATTAAATTAAACAGTGATGATATCTTTTCACCTAAATTAAATATTGATCAATGGACATGGCTATTAGAAAAATGGCATGATGCTTTACGAACATTTCCAATTCTACTTACAGAAGTTGGAGCATTTGGCCGATTGTTACGTACAACAATTGGTATTGGTATTGCACGTTTATTTAATTTTGCTGAAACAATTATTGATAATAATCAAATGTTAGATTTAGCATTTATGAATGAACAATTATTTCAGGCACTTCAAATGGGTTTTTATTTTGGTATTGCATATGGTATTGTTGATTGTTTACAAGATGAAATTCAAAATTCAAAGAAAAATCCTTCACAACATTTAGAATTGTTTAAAACAGAAACAAATGAAAATGAAAATTTAACAAAACCAGTTGAAATATTAGATAGATGGACATTGATTATGGAAGAATTATTACGTGGAGGAGAATTTAATCGAAATGAAATACCAAAAACACCATGGACACCATTATTAATAGAAACATTTGATAGTCTTGTAACATTAACGAAAACTATTGGTGCAACAAGTACAGCTTTTAATGAATTGGCTCTTTTATTAAGATCACAAAGATTGGATAACAAAACAATGGAAAATTTTTATAATGATGAAGAACTTTTCTTAGGTAATATTTTCTGTGTAGTAGTAGAGTACTAAAACTTTTTTTCTCTTCTTTTCCAAACCTTTTCTTGATATTTCTAATCCAATCACATTATTAATGCTTAGGATAATATTGAAAAGAAAAATAGTTTCGGTCATTCTTACGCGTATCAAGAACCAATATATGTCATTACACAGAAAGACAATTATCAGATATCTTAATTTAATATTCCGTACTCAATATAGACTATATACAATTAAATCTATAATGAATTTTGTTGTTTTTCATATCTATAATGTTAATGCCAAATATACTTCTTCTGACAAGAATGACTCACAATCGAAATTTAACAAATGTCTTCTAAGAAGTTTGAAACTATCAATGCAAAACATTATCCAATCGAGTATAAAGTATATACAGACGAACTTGAGTCATTTCATAATTGATAGTGTTGAGATACTAATTTTTTTCCCACATTTTAAAACATATTTAATTATCGATAAATAAATAATAGTTGAAATTATTATTCTAGGTGCTATGCTCAAATCTCATTTCACATATACATGTACAACCTTTTTGGGTAATGTTAAATCTGCTCGTGAAGAAAGTGAGCGTTTATGGACAATGCCATTTTTGGGTCAATTAACTGATGATTGTCGAGATTTTTATGATGATTTTCAATCAAATTCAGTTACTCCATATACACATTATGCATCATTTATTCGTCGTCAACAATCATCAGATAAACATTTACTTAATCCATTTTATGCATTTTTACATCTTTGTTCTGATATATATTTATCATCTGATCGTAATATTCAGACTGGTGCTTTTATTGGTCGTCGTATATTACGTACATTAAAATCAATTGAAATAAGTTCCGGTCAGTCTGCATTACGTGAATTTCTTTATTTATTTTGTCATAATAATTTATCATTACATGATTATTTTTTAACAAATCTTCGTAATTATTTTCCTAAAGTAAGTGATCCAGAAAAATCTTTTTTTCGAATGATTAATAAAGTAAGTATAAAATATGCACGAACAAATCGTAAATTAGAAACATATGTTGGTGATCATTTACAACAAATTGAAAATGCTTTACATATTGATTCATTTAATAAAAATAAAAAATCTTTATCAATTATTAATCGAGATGAAGAATTATTAATTTCAGCTATGAATTATAG